CACATACCATACGGACTGCACCTTGGGCGGGGCTCGAACCCACGGCCACGGGCTTAAAAAGCACGCGCTCGGCCGACTGATCTACTGAGGCACACACTAAATGAACTGGAAGTGCTGAGAGACCGTCTAGTTACAACTCTGCATCGCATCACCGAAAAATCAAATGGACTGCACCTCGGGCGGGGCTCGAAGCGGCCACGGGCTTAAAAGGCACGCGCTCTGCCGACTGAGCTACCGAGGCACACGTCGAAGTAACTGGAAGTGCTGAGAGACCATCTGATTACACCCCTAGATCAGGTTACGAGAAGATCAGACATGCTGCACCTCGGGCGGGGCTCGAACCCGCGGCCACGGGCTTAAAAGGCACGCGCTCTGCCGACTGAGCTAGGCTAGGGGGAAAAGCTCCTGAAAGGAGGGGGGAAAAGGGGAGAAGAAAAAAGGAGGAGAAAAGGGAAGAAAAAGGAAGAGAAAAGGAAAAGAAAAGGAAGAAGGGGAGGGGAGAAGGGAAGAGAGAGAAGGAAAGAGAGAGGAAATGAAAGGCAGAGAGAGAACCCAGCCAAAACTATACCGACTTTACCGACTATACAGCCCCGATCAGTTCATCGCCAATGACCCTCCTCATGCACTGCCGTTGGAAATCGCACGCTATCGATGTTGATGTCTTCATGCTCCGCAATTCACGCAAAAGGTGGAGCCGGTTCGCTCGATAGTCGCTGACCATCATAGCCACGAGATGCGGCCTCGACGGCACATAGTGTGATGGAAATTGTGGAAATTTGTCTATGTCGCCTGTGTTCTGGGCTCCGAAGCTTTTCAAAGATTCCACTTTGAGCCATCTTTCACGGAAGTCACTCTTCTTCGAAAGGTAGGATTGCCACACGGACGAGTGTATGATACGATAAGTTTCCGCGATGGTCAGCTCACGCAGGAGCCGGACCACCTTCATATCAGAGCCATTGGATCGACCATTCACTCTAAATTGTCGCTTCCTCTGTAGCGAATATGGCAAAGTTGTGGCATAGCGCTCATCCAATGTTGTGAAATGCTTGGTGCACTGACCACAACGTAGGTCCAAGCCTTGGATTGAATATGGCCAATCGACGCCATAGCACAACCTGGGATTGCTACCGCCGTTAACGAGTACGTGGGCGCTTCCACAATGGATGCACCTTCCTTCCAATGGAGCGTAGATGAATGAAGGAAGGTGTGTGGAATCCAGCCGATAGAGATCCCTCGTAGCTCTCCGACTTTCAATCGATTCATTGTTTCCGTGTCTATCAGTACGGGGCGGAGCTTAGAGCTGGATTCTGTCAGACCCAAACGAAGGTCCCGCGATGACCTGCGGAAAGACACCTTTTGGTCGCTATCAGTGACCCGGCAAGGTTTTCGTACTTCTCTGGCTCGATGCTTCCACTGCTTGCCGGCTTGACGAGCTCCACATCGATGGATGATTGCTCGTCCTTCTCTTGTGTTTGGTTTTGCAGAGGTTCGGCAGAATCTCTGTGGCTTTGGACCTTGGAACTGAGCAAGGCGAAATCTTAAGCATGTACCCAGACTGTGCAATTACCTGTGCGACTCGTTTGGCTTAATTATCCGATGGTACGAACAGGTGCACTCCAGCCACCTTGAGCTCCCCGGACCACCAAAAAGAAACTTGCGAGCTTTGCACTCCGCTGAGCTTCCTTTATACGGACAATTCGTGATCGCTGCAATTTTCTTCGCAACCCACGAAGCTTTAGGAGGAGCTGCCCCTCTCCTCAACTTGGAGAGGAAGGATGGCCTCCCATTCGTCTTTAGTTTTGGAAATGTTAGGCATGGCCCGATGGAAAAGGGAAGCTGGGAACCGTGCGGAAACTCTCCGGTCTCCGGCGCGCGGCTTCGCAGCGGGCGTGCGCCGGAAACAAACCCCTGACCACAGGCAACCCCGACCACAGGCTGCGCAGGAAAATGGAATACCTC